GTCCAAGTAGTGCTCGGTTTTGAACCAAGCGCTCAGTCTCCATAGTGTTTGGTCTTTAACCAAGCGTTCAGTATTTTTATTATACTCTAGTGTGTACTATATTTGAACTAAGAATGTTCAGTCCAAGTCAATAGTATTCGGTTTAAGCTTGTAAGGGTTCAGTTTAAGTTTGTAGGTTTCACCAATAGTTATTATGATTTTCAGTTAAGTCTAAAATATATGTATTCTTTAGTATTCGGTACATTCTTAGAAGTTCTGTATAGTAAAATAATGTTTTGTAGTAACTGTTGAGTAACCAGTAAAAGTCCAAATAGTACCACAAGTGTTCGGCTTATGATGAGAGTGTTCGGCTGATGAGGAATCATATCTAGAATGGACCGTTCGGTCCTGTTCCGTATATAAGTGAAAGGTCGCCCGGTCTTACACTAAGTGTTCAGTTGTGTTAGTCTAGAAAGTATTCAAAATGTTCGGTCGTTTTTTCCTGTTGCGATGATCATCCTGTGGATGTGAGCAGAAGGAGAAGAGCTGCTAGAAGAGGCCCTGAAAGAAGTGGAAGTGAAAGCTGAACCATAGGACCGTTCGGTCATTAGGTTTGGTCTTATTTTGTATAACCGATCAGTATAAGCGTAGTATTGGGAACATATCGGTCTAGTAGTTAGTTTTGTAAAAGTTTAAATCTTGTAGTATTTTTGTAAGGTCGTTCAGTCATAAAGATACCCCTTTGTTTTCATAACTGAACTGTACTATTGTTAATATATGAATATTCTATGGTACGATTTATATTGTATTTTTGGGATATTACAAAACACTTGGTGAAATTAGAAAAATGATTTCAAATAAAAATCTTTTTATTTTAATGTAAGAGTGATTCCAAAAAAGAAATATCACTTTTATTAATCTTAAAGTGCAAAATTTGTTTTGATAAATTTAATAATCCTATAAGATTAAAAATAATTTAAATATAAAATTCTCTTTTAACTTTTTTTTAAAGATAAATATGTGATAAAATTTTAAGCTTAATAATTAACTTGATGTTGAACTAAAATTCATATGGAAAAATGTATTTTATATTTTAATTGATTGATAGCCCTGTTTTTATATTCTCCATGCATAAAATTAATCTATTAATATTTAGAAAAAAAGTTCTTTATTTTTTTAAAAATATTATCATATTTCTCTTTATAGAATCGAGTGGTTGAATTAGCTGAAGTGTTAAATATTTGATATTTTTTTTATCATTTGCTACATTTGAAAATTAAAGTTATTCTTACCACAATCAAGTGAACAAAAACACTTATTAAAATAAAAAAACATAACTAATAGTAAAGATAAAATATATATCAAAACAATATTGAAAGTGGAATCATTATATATATTAGTAAAAATAATAACTCAAGCAAAATTCTTTTTACTGAGATAACTATTCCTCTTAACATATTATTAAGAGTTTTTCAAAATTTTCTATTAGAAAATTATCAGAATAACTTATTAAATAAGAAGTGTAAAATGTAACTTGTTTTAACAATTATATAGTGGTTAGATTAGAAATTAGGTTTTCTTTAATTCTCCAATATTTTTTCATGTTTTAAGTCTTGAATTTCATAGTAAATTATTATATTTTTGAATATATTGAATTCAAGGTATGATTTATTTATTTACTTATAATAAATCTTCCATAACACTTTCTTTTTAAAATATGATGACCAAAAATTTAATGAAATAGATATAAAAGACAAACTCACAAAAATGAATATGTAATAAAAATTATGAAATTTCTAAATCTGTAAAGTAAAATCACAGAAAAAATAAGGTGAAAAGAAATACATTGAATATTATATAAAAGCCAAAACTACAATTTAGTATAATAAATTTATAATAATATGTCAAAATGATTATGACTTTTTTGTTGCTTCGAAACTGGATAAATAGATGGAAGTACGAAGTGATCAAATCAANAAAGCATTAAATTTTAAAACAAAATATTTCATAAGTTGTTAATGATATTATCTTAAAAGACTTAAAATCGAAATATAAACATTTCAGAATTCTTAAAACTCCTAGTGGAAGTCGGGTGTCAATGAAGGATTCAAAATTTCAGAAAGTGGAAGACAAAGGTGGTTGTAGGAGAGTGGATCGATCGGTTTGTGCAGGAGGTATATAAGTTGAAATTTTGAAATTTGGTCCCACTTTCTGCATGCACCCTTCTTCTCAAAACTGCTGAACCCCATTTTCTCATCCTTCACTCTAGATTCCTCCACTTCTCTCTAAACTCTTATCTTTTTCTTCTTCCGATCACCAATCAGGCAACGTTTGAACTCTCCGACATTAAGGGCTTTCATTTAAACCGATCAAGTTGTGGTTTTAAGCCGGTGAGTTACTCCTCTTCTTAGAACGTTCGTTTTCTGACACCTGCAAGCCAAGTTTTGGTTGCATGAGTTTATCATCTCATTCTAAACACATTTCTGGTTTTTTTTTTTGTTTGGTTTAGTTTCACAAATAGTGACTGTAGGATTCAAAGATGTCTGGTTGTGAGCTATTTTGTTCAAATTGTGAACGTTCGACTACGTTTAGAGGTAAGGGAAGCTTGTAATTTAATTATGATTCTCATTTTATAATTGTTTACTGGATGGAATGATGTTATGTTTGATGAGTGGGTTGATGTTGTAATACTGCATGTTTGTTTGGATGTATTGTTGATTGAGGAAAAGGCATAAATTGGGTAGGAATATAGTTTGATTGTGATTCTGTAATAATCTGCAGAATTCTATAAACTATAACCGAGAGTCATTGTTGATCGTTCGGTTTATCCTTGGGTATTCGGTCTGAACTGGATTCTTCTTCTGTGCAGAAATTCAGTTAATGACCGATCGGTTTTCTCTTAGTATATTTGTAAGTAAGCGTTCGGTCTAAGTATAGTTTTCCCTTTTATGCTTCCTAATCAGTTAGTTAATATATTCTATAATATTTAAAGTCGTAGATGTTATCTTTATCCTTCATTGAAAATAAGTGTTGTGTAATTGTATATATATTCTCCTTCATTCTTAATATAAGTTCAGTAGCGTTCGGTCCAAGTAGTGCTCGGTTTTGAACCAAGCGCTCAGTCTCCATAGTGTTTGGTCTTTAACCAAGCGTTCAGTATTTTTATTATACTCTAGTGTGTACTATATTTGAACTAAGAATGTTCAGTCCAAGTCAATAGTATTCGGTTTAAGCTTGTAAGGGTTCAGTTTAAGTTTGTAGGTTTCACCAATAGTTATTATGATTTTCAGTTAAGTCTAAAATATATGTATTCTTTAGTATTCGGTACATTCTTAGAAGTTCTGTATAGTAAAATAATGTTTTGTAGTAACTGTTGAGTAACCAGTAAAAGTCCAAATAGTACCACAAGTGTTCGGCTTATGATGAGAGTGTTCGGCTGATGAGGAATCATATCTAGAATGGACCGTTCGGTCCTGTTCCGTATATAAGTGAAAGGTCGCCCGGTCTTACACTAAGTGTTCAGTTGTGTTAGTCTAGAAAGTATTCAAAATGTTCGGTCGTTTTTTCCTGTTGCGATGATCATCCTGTGGATGTGAGCAGAAGGAGAAGAGCTGCTAGAAGAGGCCCTGAAAGAAGTGGAAGTGAAAGCTGAACCATAGGACCGTTCGGTCATTAGGTTTGGTCTTATTTTGTATAACCGATCAGTATAAGCGTAGTATTGGGAACATATCGGTCTAGTAGTTAGTTTTGTAAAAGTTTAAATCTTGTAGTATTTTTGTAAGGTCGTTCAGTCATAAAGATACCCCTTTGTTTTCATAACTGAACTGTACTATTGTTAATATATGAATATTCTATGGTACGATTTATATTGTATTTTTGGGATATTACAAAACACTTGGTGAAATTAGAAAAATGATTTCAAATAAAAATCTTTTTATTTTAATGTAAGAGTGATTCCAAAAAAGAAATATCACTTTTATTAATCTTAAAGTGCAAAATTTGTTTTGATAAATTTAATAATCCTATAAGATTAAAAATAATTTAAATATAAAATTCTCTTTTAACTTTTTTTTAAAGATAAATATGTGATAAAATTTTAAGCTTAATAATTAACTTGATGTTGAACTAAAATTCATATGGAAAAATGTATTTTATATTTTAATTGATTGATAGCCCTGTTTTTATATTCTCCATGCATAAAATTAATCTATTAATATTTAGAAAAAAAGTTCTTTATTTTTTTAAAAATATTATCATATTTCTCTTTATAGAATCGAGTGGTTGAATTAGCTGAAGTGTTAAATATTTGATATTTTTTTTATCATTTGCTACATTTGAAAATTAAAGTTATTCTTACCACAATCAAGTGAACAAAAACACTTATTAAAATAAAAAAACATAACTAATAGTAAAGATAAAATATATATCAAAACAATATTGAAAGTGGAATCATTATATATATTAGTAAAAATAATAACTCAAGCAAAATTCTTTTTACTGAGATAACTATTCCTCTTAACATATTATTAAGAGTTTTTCAAAATTTTCTATTAGAAAATTATCAGAATAACTTATTAAATAAGAAGTGTAAAATGTAACTTGTTTTAACAATTATATAGTGGTTAGATTAGAAATTAGGTTTTCTTTAATTCTCCAATATTTTTTCATGTTTTAAGTCTTGAATTTCATAGTAAATTATTATATTTTTGAATATATTGAATTCAAGGTATGATTTATTTATTTACTTATAATAAATCTTCCATAACACTTTCTTTTTAAAATATGATGACCAAAAATTTAATGAAATAGATATAAAAGACAAACTCACAAAAATGAATATGTAATAAAAATTATGAAATTTCTAAATCTGTAAAGTAAAATCACAGAAAAAATAAGGTGAAAAGAAATACATTGAATATTATATAAAAGCCAAAACTACAATTTAGTATAATAAATTTATAATAATATGTCAAAATGATTATGACTTTTTTGTTGCTTCGAAACTGGATAAATAGATGGAAGTACGAAGTGATCAAATCAAATCTGTTCTCTGAATCTCACCATCTATTCTTCCTTTCTCTGCGAATTCGCTTCAATTTCCAAATCACGAACTAAAAAGATGGAGAAAGCGATCAACAGACAGAAGATTTTGCTTCATCATCTCAACCCTTCATCATCTACCCACGCAATCGAATCATCCTCTCTCTCTGTTAGTTTGTTTCACTCCCTTTTTCTGTCTTCACTTTCTGATCACTAACATGGCGTTTTCGTCGTTACCCTTTTCTTTTAATCTCTTGATGCTTGTTTGGCTTTTGGAAAAACTATCCCTTTTGCTAACTCTGCCAAAATCAGCTTCCTTGATTGGTTATTAGCTCAAAATATTTGTATATTCATTTCATAGGTTGTTTGGCTTGTGTGTTGATTACCCTTTTGTTACTTCTGTGACAATTTGTTCTCTTCTTTGATTGTTAGCTCAAAATTTTATAAAAGTTTTGATCTTGTACTTGTTCTCTTGATTGATTGTTACCTCATAATTGTGTAGAAATATTTTTTTCTTGGATGTATTTTGTGATTTTATAGGCTGCTAGAGTTCGAGTGGGGGGTTTTGGAAGAAGGCAAAACATGACTCTTTTGCTGGTCTCCTTCATTTATTGTTAGGATTTTGTTATTTATAATAAAATAATATGTATATGGACGTGTTCATGTTATGTTTGTTCAATAGGTTGTTTAACTTGTTTTGAAATAGAACGTGTTCATATCTGAACGTGTATTTTGACATTTAAATTGAAATTTATTTTCTTGATTAATTGTTTGCTAAGAATTCTTTAAGTTTCGATCTTGTATATATTTATGATTTTATATGCCCGACAGGGTGTTTGAGAAATTGTGCACATATGATTCTTATGATGCACATGGTTTCCTTAATGGATTGTTAGGCGCTTGCTGTATATTTTTATCACAACAATTTGTATATTGATGTTTTTATATGCTTTCAGTTGATTGTTTCTTTGTTGAACTCTTGATCACTAGGCTTCAGCATGTGCGGCGGGGGATAGTGCTGCTTATCATAGGACATCTACATTTGGGGACGATGTTGTAATCGTGGCGTAAGTTCTGCTCTTACTCAATTGAAATATGTCATGTTAAACAAGTTTTATTTATCTAATGATAGTTTACAGCTTTAACTTTTACCCAAAATGATGTATTTGCAATTTTGTAGTGCTTATCGGACTGCTCTTTGCAAAGCTAAGCGTGGTGGTTTCAAAGATACTCATACTGATGATCTACTGGCTCCTGTTTTAAAGGTTTCAGTTCTTTGCTTTTGATTTCTAGTTTTTGTGCATTTTCAATTTTAGATGAGTTCTAATAAATAACTGCTTTTTCTTAAGCTGTGGTGATTTATGCAAAGGTACTTTGTACTTTGTACTTTGTACTTGGTACTGTAGTTCATAGTTTACGCTATCAAATGTTAACTTTCTATTCTATAACTCTACATGAACGTGGGTTTTCATCTTAGGCTGTAATTGAGAGAACCAATGTCAACCCAAGTGAAGTTGGGGATATTGTTGTGGGTACTGTATTGGGTCCTGGATCTCAAAGAGCTAGTGAATGCCGAATGGCTGCATTTTATGCTGGTTTTCCTGGTATGCGTACATATTCCATGCTTGTGAACCTGATGTGTGACTCTTATTTGTTACTGATAGTACATGTGATTTTATTTCCAACCAGAAACTGTACCTGTTAGGACTGTTAATAGGCAATGTTCGTCTGGGCTCCAGGCCGTTGCTGATGTAGCTGCTGCTATAAGGGCTGGATTCTATGATATTGGTAAAGGAGGCACCATTTTTCTTTGTTCTTCTTGTGATTGTTAATGATTTTTAGTGTCTTATGTTATCTTTACTTATTTTGTTTAGGTATTGGTGCTGGTTTGGAATCTATGACAGCGAATCCAATGGCATGGGAAGGATCAGTTAATCCTAAAGTATTTTTCCCTCTTTTCATCACTTCGTCTCCTCAGCTTTATTATATAATCTTCATTTTGGATTTAGGAAATAAAACCTCTAACATGGCTACAAGGTTATGATATTTTCTTTGGTGTTGTGACAGGTAAAAATATTTGAACAAGCACAAAACTGCCTTCTTCCAATGGGTATTACCTCTGAAAATGTTGCACATCGCTTTGGTGTTTCAAGGAAGGAACAAGATCTGGCTGCAGTAAGTTGGATACATGTTTTAATTCAAGATTTTGTTCGATTTTATAATTTAATGACTTTGAACTGAAGCTTCTTAGCAATTATGCTGTTAGGTTGAGTCTCATAGACGAGCTGCTGCAGCTACTGCTTCTGGTAGATTTAAAGATGAAATTATCCCAGTTTCCACCAAGGTATTGCCATTACAGGGTATATTGATTCTTTCTTTGGCTTCTTGGGTGCTGAATATAACCTCTTTTTTTTCTCAAACAGATTGTGGACCCAAAATCTGGTGATGAAAAACCTGTCACCATTTCTGTTGATGATGGAATTCGACCTGGGACAACAGTGTCTGATCTAGGGAGGCTCAAACCTGTCTTCAAGAAAGATGGAACCACTACTGCTGGTATAAGATCATAAAAACATGATTCATTTTCCCTAATCCCTTCTAATTGATGCTCTAAATTTAATCATATGATACCTGTGCTTTAGGTAATTCTAGCCAGGTGAGTGATGGTGCTGCAGCTGTTCTGCTTATGAAAAGAAGTGTTGCACTGCAAAAGGGCCTACCCATCCTTGGTGTATTCAGGTACATAGTCTGTGACATAGAAGCTTTAGTCCCTGGAAATATTCATATATTCAGAGCATATTGGCCAATGCTCAAGACTAAAGTTTGAATTAAGTTTAAAAATTTTAGTCCCTGGAAATGTTCATATATTCAGAGCATATTGGCCAATGCTCAAGACTAAAGTTTGAATTAAATTTAAAAATAAAATTGAGAAAAAATATAATTTGGAATAGATATTAGCTGCAGAATGATGCACTATTTGTCTGTTTTGGCCAAACAACACGCATACATACTTCATCTGGTTTAGTAAATGGTACATCTAGTTTCTCATTGTACTTGTTTATTTGACTATCAAGTCCTACTAGGTTAGTACCAATTTTCTTGCCAACTACACCAGCAACATTTTGGCACACGTTTTCACCGTATAGTGCTCTATTCATCAAAAGCATAACTGCACAGAACTCAAAATACATTCAAAAAATAAGTACTGACAAGTTTCTTTTTTGTCCAGTTTCTTATACGAGTGTACCCGATAGAAAAATAGAAAGGAACTGGCATTCACTATAATCTCTAAGCATAAGATTCATACAATATTATCTGGGAAGAGAAAAATTTATTGAATAAACTTGTCAAGCATTTCTTTAGAAACTGGAACTTCATATTTATATATTTATCTTTCTTATAATGAATTTTGTTCCATTCTAAAATCATAAACTGTATTATCAATGTACTTAAAAATTTGAAATTGAATAATTGATAAGATAGAATTGTGAACATTATTTATTGGCTGTAATCCAGGACTTTCACAGCAGTTGGTGTTGATCCTGCCATCATGGGTGTGGGCCCTGCTGCTGCAATTCCTGTTGCTGTTAAGGCTGCAGGTCTAGAGCTTGATGATATTGATCTTTTTGAAATAAATGAGGTACTTGACCAATGTGTTGGTATTACATTTTCCGTTTTCTCTTTCTGAATTTACATATACTAACTTCAATAATTTGCTTGTGTTAAGGCATTTGCTTCCCAGTTCGTGTATTGCCGAAACAAGCTAGGGCTTGATCCAGAAAAGATCAATGTTAATGGAGGTGCAATGGCAATTGGGCATCCTCTAGGTGCAACAGGTGTATATCACAACTTTTTATCTTACATTCCATATGCAACAATACCACTGTAATCTATATACCATACTCCAATCCCTTGTTGCATCGAATCTTTACTACTAAGTCAAAAGTTATAATTTAATTCTTTCTATTCAAGAGTATAGCAGTTAATTTTCTAGGATATCCTATTTGGAACATGATTATTGTCATGTGCACTTGCTAAATACGAATAATGTACATGGCATTGTTCATGTCTTTCAAGCATGGTTTCAATTTTTTTTTTTGTAGGTGCTCGATGTGTTGCTACACTGTTGCATGAAATGAAGAAACGTGGCAGGGACTGTAGATTTGGAGTTATATCTATGTGCATAGGTATGCTAACTGTATGTTTGCATTTGTGCATAAACATGTTGCAGAAAATGATGGCTTGTCTGGTTTGAGCAGGTACTGGAATGGGAGCAGCTGCTGTTTTTGAGAGTGGTGATTGTGCTGATCAGCTATGCAATGCCCGAAAAGTGGATGACCTTCTCCTATCCAAGGATGCTCGCTAGAAATTACAATCAAGAGGTCAACCACTGCTCAACAATTTGAACCTTTCTATTCATAAGACCAGAATTATTTTGTGATGTATTTTCTTTAATTATCAACACTTACCTTTTTTTTTTCTCTCCTCACACAAGTTATTACATCTTTTCACTCTCTCTTTTCTATACACTTTATCCACCCTAATTATGATCAACACCCTGCTTTGCATAACAAGAAAAATAAAATTATAGTTCACATCAAAATATTCTCCAGCTTTACTTTACTGTTAAATGATTATTGATTGTATTATAGGTTGATTATATTATGAGTAATAAGTACATATAATAGTGATTATAACATAGTCAATTATATTTAAATATATAATATAAAATATAATCGGTTATGTTATATCGTATATTTGATTATGATTATGATAACAAAAATTAATTTAGTTAGATTTTCTAATTAGGTTTAATAGCCAATTTAGTCCTCACTTTGGTTGAAAAATCTCAATTTAGTCCCTCGTTAAAAAAGTGTTTTGAATTAGTCCTAACTTTTAAAATAGTGGGTCAGATTGGTCCTTTCTGTTAAATATAAGTTAACAAAATTAATGGATGATGATGTGACACAGCTTAAAGCTAACGAGGGACCAATCTAACACAACTTAAAGCTAACGAGGGACCAATCTAACACATCAGCTTTAAGCTGTGTCACATCATCATCGATTAATTTCGTTAACTTATATTTAACGAAAAGGACGAATCTGACCCATTATTTTAAAAGTTATGACTAATGTAAAACACTTTTATAACGAGAGACTAAATTGAGATTTTTCAACCAAAGTGGGGACTAAATTGGCTATTAAACCTTCTAATTATATTAGATAAGCTTTTATTTTATTTAATGTGGACCAAGTTAATTATTAACCCATCAATTCGATCACTGATGACTTCATACTAACCTTTAATTTTGTTTTATATTGCATAATGTCAAAAAATCTAGGTGTAAAAAGTCGATAACATTGGTAATAATTTCATATTGTTTTTTTAATTATAAAAACAATACTTCTTATTTTACCATACTTATTGTATAGAAAATAGGGAACAAAAATGAGTAAATAAGATTATTGGAAGCGTTTAGAGTTAAAAATATATTTTTCATTTTTATTCTATTTTTAATTACAAAAACATCCTTTTGTTCATGCCTCGTTTAATTTGAACATTTTTCTCATTTTCTTACAAAAATTAAAAAATAATAATAATAGTATATTTAGTTACATTTTATAAAACATTTTCAAAAATCTCTTTATACAATTCTCTCTAAGAAAAAGTGCGATGATAGCACGGAATAAGATCAGGATATGGTGTTATAATCTAATACATTGATAAGTAAATGACAAAGATGTTAATTTTTAATAGTTAGTCTTCTGATTCAAGAATATAAGAGAATCATCTTTTTAAAAAATATAAATGCATATCATGATTAAAAAATGTTTTAAATTAGCTTTTAATATCTTTACATATAAGTACATAAGTTTAAAAATATCTACAAACCTTAAAAGAAAAACTCTAAACACATAAAAATAAGGGTTAAATATGTTTGTAGTCCCTAAACTATTGGTCGTTTTTGGTTTTCGTCCCTCTTTTAAAGTAAGGTACAATTTGGTCTTCATTCTTTTCGAAACGTTCGTTTTAGTCCTCGAAATTTTGGTTTTAGTCCTCATTTGTTGCTAAATGAGGACCAAATTTTTAAATAGTGTTTAGTTTTCGAGGACTAAAACGAACGTTTCGAAAAGAATGAGGACCAAATTGTACCTTACTTTGAAACAGGAACGAAAACCAGAAACGACCAATAGTTTAGGGACTAAAAACATATTTAACCCTAAAAATAATAAAATAAAAATTACAATACTTTTATCTAGTGAAACCGGTTCGTGCAACAAATATAAACTAATTTCACCAAAAAAATTTAATATTATGTAAAATTAAAATAAAATTATAATTTATTTAATTTCTTAAATTATTTTTAAGTTTTCTCCTTCATTATGTTTTGATCTTTGACCTTATCATCTATTTTTTGAATTCTTATATATGTTTAGGAGATATTTTCTATCATTTGTTGTATACTAAAAAGACATAATTGTTATAAAATATAAAGTTGATAGAAAAGAAAAAAGAAAGAAGAAGAGGAGAGAACAAGAAATAATGAAGACTAATTTTTGTATTATTAAAAGAAAAAAAAATTATTTACAGATACAAATAGTTAATATAAATAATCAAATTTATATAAGTAGTCCTGGGAATGAACAATCATTAATGCATAACTATCTATCTCCTTTTAGTGTCTATTGATAAGAGAGTGTTAAATATAATATTGTTTATCATATATTTTATTTCATCCTAATGTAAACCATATCATTAAGATGATAAAGTTCAATCTTGTGAACTAATTGTTCAAAAGTTATCGTTGGTAAAGACTTCGTAAATAAATTGACAGAGACTTTCAAATGAACAAATCTTTTGAATCTCTATACCACAACTTACCTTATATAGGAGAATAAATGTAGTTTGCTAACAAATTTTCAACAAATGTTATATCAAGTCGAGTATATTTTCAAGATATATTAGTACTCCTATAGCATTAAGATATGGTCCTTCTGGATCAAAAAGTTCTTCATCCTTTTCTTGAGGTCTAAAAGGGTCTTTTTCAGCATCTAATGACCTCACAACCACTGGAGTGCATAATGGATGTGACTTGTACATATAAAATCTTTAAGTACCTTCATTATATAAGACTCTTGGTGTACAAAAACACATTTAAATACTTAATTTGTAATTCCAAACAAAACTTTGTCCTTTCAAGACCCTTCATCTCAAATGTTTTCTTTAAGCAATCATTTGCCTTTGTGAGCTCATTAGAAGTTCCAACTATCTTTATGTAATCAATATAAAACACAATTATGACAAATTCATTTTATGATATTTTCATACAAATACAATGACAAAAAAATCATTTTTGTACCTTTTTGTTAACAAGTACTCATTAAGATGGTTATACCACATATGTCTTTATTGTTTTAATCCATAAAGGAACTTGTTCAATTTTATTGAATAATCTTTTTTAGAATTTACATTGTTAGGCAAATTAAATTCTTTAGAAATTTCATATAAATTTCATTCTCAAGATAACCACACAAATAGGTTGTAACAACATCCATTAGTTGTAAATGCATACCTTCTTGTGCAACCAGGCTAATCAAATTGTTGTTGCATCCAATACTGATGATTATGTCTCTTTAAAATCAATACGAGGTCTTTATGAAAAAACTTGAGCAATTATCCATGCTTTTTATCTAACAATTTCATCATTCTCATTTTTTATGCACAAAAATCCATATGTACCCAATGGATTTTACACATTCAAGTATGCAAACTATAGGTCCAAAAACTTTTCGCTTAGCAAGCAAATCTAATTATGCTTTGATTGCATCTTTCTACTTTGACCAATAATTTCTTTGTCAACAATCTTTCATGGTCATTGGTTCTTGATCCTCATTGTCACTCTTAACATTATCGCTACATTATCTCATTCATGACATAATTGTTTGATATCTCATCATTTTCATCAATTTGAGGTACTTGAGGTTCTTTTGGAACCAAATCATTAATTGTGTCAAATGAATTTTTAAGATTTTCACCTCCTCGACTAGGTCATCTTACCTTCAATTATCTTTTATTTTTGGAACCAAAAGGCCTACCATGCTTCAAGCGTGTAATGATAATTCATTCCAACCAATATCTTTTTTATGAATCAATAGGCCTACCGCACTTTAAGCATGTAATGATAATTCCAACTAGTATCCTTTTCTAGTTGTTTTCTTTCTCTCCCTAATTTGAAAAATTGATTCATCAAAATAATAGTTGACGAATCAAGATGCAAATAAGTCTCGTGTTGATTATTCAAGATATTTTACTATTGATGGAGGATCATATTTAATATGTATTTTCAATAGTTTTTGAAACCCATGCACAGTCCCCTTTTATGGGGAAATTGGGATATACAACACCTAAAATTCTTAAATAAGAAATATTAACACCTAAAATTCTTAAATAAGAAATATTAAGTTGTTATCCAAAAGCCAAATGCAAATAAGAGTTTTTGTGATATCTTGTTGGCCTCATGTAATCAATACAACATATAAATTTGCATATCCCAAGTAACCATGGTAAGATTAACTCTCATAATTAATGGTCTTGTAATCAATTTTAAACATTTTATTAATGATTCTACAGCAATATTAAAACAATTTAATATTTTTAAAACTTAATGTAAAATAAAAATTTTATTTTTTTTCCGATCAAGGCTAATGGACCGGGTGTCATTGAGAGACTATAAGAATTTGTTCTTAATTTGTTGAAATGATAGAAATATACATTTATATCTTTGAATGAAAATACAAAAAGTTGCGCCTGAAAGGAAGATGAATGTGTAATTTTTCATCATCAATTTGATGTAATTTTTCATACTTTATTTTAATAAACTTGTATATAATAGTAAATGATTAATAAACTTTAAATTATTAATGTTAAAATTCATAATAATACATTGTTTTGGAAACAAAAATGAGGTGTCTCCTAAAGGATCTAAAACTTTGAATAGATTAACAAGGAGCATTGTTCTCATCTTTAAGGGGAAGAAAATGTGAAAATTGGGCTCGTGCCAACTCTGCACTATTTAGCAGCAGCAGTACAAGTTAAACTACATCATTCATAACAACATGCATTCATCGCCCCACAACAAATCACAATTCAAAAGACAGTAACAGTATATCAGAACTGCCTGCAGATCTTTCTGTAACTCTATTCGCTTTTGAATATCTACTGTATCAAAAGATAAATAAAGGCACTGTGATATTACAATATCAGGTTTTACCTTTTCCCTGAAAGAAAAAATGAGGTGGCCGATTGATGAATATCTAATGCATCAAAAGATAAATTGACCACTTAAGTCCTAAAATAGATTAGGTGATTGATGACTTGCATACAGGGCATGTTGTTTTTCTCTGGAGCCAAGGATCGATACACTGCCAAAAATAGATTAGAGCAAATTAGCATTTTACAACTTCTACATAGACACAAACAAATGTTTAATGGTCTCACATCTTTGTGAAATTTGTGCAAACAGGGAAGGTGGCGAATAGTTTCTCCCTTGGCTGGGGTCTCAAGACATATAGCACATGGCTCTGTCATGTTGTCATTCTGTGACAATGAACAGGAAACATATCAGCATAGAATCGAAAATCAATTCCATTTTCCCCCCAAATCCTACTTTCTGCTGTCCCAGAATTGAAATTGGACCAGCAGATCATGAAGGGCTGAGGGAAAAAGGAGACACTGTTAATCGTCATCCCAAAAGTGGATAAAGAATTTCACCAGAAAATAATAACTGACCTGGATGGTGGACTGTGGAAGGCTATTTATCAGATTAGTAGACGCACCAGTATGTTGGTGATTTCTCTCGTCAAGGGCCAATAACATTTCATAATCACTTCTGCAAGAAAACATGGACCACAAATTCATTTTTGCAGAACAGAGATAAAAGAAAGAAAACTTTCTGTAAACAATTGCGAAAGTCACCATACCCAAGAACTTAATTCAAAAATTCAGATATCAAGGAATAGAAACATATGCAAAACTGAGTAACAATATGGGGCTCCTGCACAACAAAAAAACTTGCATTTTGATGACCTGCAGTACTACTTAACATACAGAATGAAGAACTTCTATGTTGCCTCCTCACATTGGTACTTTTGTCTCATTCCGTCCTCTCACTTTCTTAGTTGTGTTACTATTCTAAATTTTAAGAACCAAAAATTAAGCTTAATTTTAGAGATTAAAATAAATGAGAAAATGAGAATGAAGCATAGGTTATGCGCACAAAGTATAAACTATTCAATACAAACTTACTCATTGAAATCACGTCGCCCATTAAAGATGCCATCAGCCATTCCCATATCATTGAAATCCCCCATTGAATTTTCTAAAGCTTCCAATATATCAAGTCTCTGCACAGGAGAGATGGATGCCATGGAAAATTAAAATTATACATGTGCAGTACAACATAATCCCAATCCGAAATTTACAAATTCAACGATAACAAATTCCTGACTTACAAGAAGCAGTGTATGCTTGTACTAAGAGACTCACTTTGATGTTAAGATTAAGCAAAAGTACAAGTTCTTACTATATAACAATTTGGTGTGGAAGCTAGAAGTTATGGTGAAAATTTTTTAGAGAAATACATGTACCAAAAATATGAGAACACAAGCCAAAGTCAAATACCAATGTGCTAAAACATCAAGGCAGAATACAAACTTTTGTACTTAACTTGCTTTTAAGATTTTACTTTTGTCTCGAGTTGTTTCTGTTCAAAATATCCCCTCACCTTATTGTCAAAAGTTTTCCTTGCACATAATTCCAAAGCTAGAGCAGTGTTATCAAGATCGGCTATGGCAGCACCATGTCAGAAACTGGTGACAGTTGTAGCTGCCACCACATAGAGGTGGAGGTGGCAATGCTGGTTTGACATCATGGCCACTTTGGACGTCACAGAAAAGACATCGTGGAAATCACATTTCAGGATGCAAGAATGTCCAGAGAATATTGTCAGATTTGTGACAAGAAGTCAAAGGTCAATGCAACCTGACCCAGACCCGAGGAAACAAATCCTAACTTCTAAAATACAGTTTTTGGTCCTTTATAACCCAACTCAAGTCCAATAAATTAAAAAAAGAAAAGAAAATGGACTGGATTATGTCATAAACCTAAGTCAATCCATGTCCAAAATTAAAAGGCTAACCTAGCCTTAAATGAACATAGTTGCAGACCTGTTCCGCCACCTTAGTGATAGACACAGCACCTCAGTGACAGACGCTGTTGCCTACAACTAGTTCCACCACAGCCGACAACCAGTTTAACCTCCGCCAACACCTGCAATCTGTTTTTTTTTCCCATTACTGATTTTATTAACATCTATCTTTTAGTTGTACGGGTGAGCTAAAACTTCAAATCTTTAATTTAAATTCAATCTATAAACATCCAAATTTATATTACTTTGTCTATTTTAATGGATTTATCTAAAATCATACTTTTGGATTCTATGTCCAGTCCATTTAATTGGATTTGGATTTAAATATAAAATAGATTGGATAACTTTTTGGATTTTGAAAATCCAAAATTAAGGTGAGAGTCTTGGATCAGTTCAAGTTATGCAAGTTTAGGTTGAGTTAGACCCATGTAAGGTAGAACCGGGTTGGATTGAGCCAAGTTGGTCTCAAGTCATGCAAAGTTGGATCAGACTAGGGCCTGAGTCAAGTTGGGCCAGGCCAGACCAGTCCTTTCATATAAATGCAAAAGGTAAATGCATACTTTGTTTGGTTTTCTTAAATAAAAAATAAATAAAACAGAAACTGGGGAAAAAGAATTAGAAATACAAGGCACCGTAGTTCCGTGCTACAACCACCTCCCCCCCCACCCCCCCCTCACTTTCCCCACCATATTAACCGTGGAAACTCCCTTTAAAAAACCAGCTAATAGAGTATCAAAGAAGGAACTTGGGTGAATTGAAAGAAATGCCTTTAAACAAGTCCACAATAAAATACTCTAGAATTTTTTTATTAAGATAATGAATTAATAACAAAAAAATGACTGCATGCTGCTAAGACATGACATTGCAAGAAAAATTACGTTAGGAAGTCATGAAGGAATGCAAAGAGAAGAAAGATAAGAAAAGAAAGAAGAAAATATCAGGGGGAAAATGTGTGACGATACCATGTCTAAGTCCATATCCAGAGGAAACCGGGGGGCCCTTCCTCTAGATGACATGTTAGGTGTCCGAGCCCTACTTGTGGCACGACTCCTCAACTGTGACACTCTATTAGAGAAAGAAACTACAGGCACAGCTCTCCTTCTTGAATTCTGATTAGGCAATATACGAGGCTGTCTGTTTGCCCTAGGAAGCCGTGCCTGTACATTGAAAAAGTAGATTTGTCAAAACCCCCCTACTCAGCTATCAATTATTATATCTCTAAATAGCCCAACTTTTCAACTAACAAAAAATTGCCCAGGCAACAAGATATCCTCTTACTTAAGGGTACAAGTTCCGATAATATTTTTCTAGCATCCTATTAACTTGGCTACAGAATAGCATTGAAATACGCTCATCACAGATAAATTCTAGAATATTGTACAGTTATGCCAAATAACAAAGATAACGGTTATGTTATATGTAGCTTTCAAGTTCCCTACAGACATTTCGACCTTTAATTCAACACCATCCATAAATCATCTATGTTTGATAAAAATATTTGAAAGGGTTAAATATGTACATACAGGACAATTTAGCATTGCTGCATAAAAGGAAGCCTCTTAACAACATAATATTAAGTGAAACATACAAGAAACTTTGTTTATACAGAAAGGAGTTTTCTGTAACATTCATTTAAGAAAAAGAGAGAAAAGGCTTAGTTACATGATGATTTATGCTGTGACTATTAATGGATGTAGGCAGAAGATCCTCTGCATGCTGCAACTCCCACGCTAAATGTTCATCAATCTGCAACAAGTCAACATATGATGAAGTTGTTGTAAAAAAAGAAATATATGCTTAAACTACATCTCATAAGAGGCGAGACAAGTAAGAAAAGAGAAAAACAAACCCCTCTGTTTTCTATGAAATCATCATGATACAATTGTTCTTGGAGTTCACGTGCCAAAATCTCATCTGCTTCCACTTGTCTTGCTCGAGCTTCCAAGCTATTGTTGTCGTTATCATCTAAATCTTCAGATGATTTGTGCCTTGGTGTGGATACCAACTCAACCACTTCAGGATCCAAGCCACGGCTCCGGGATGAGCTTGCTGAGTTCCTTGGTGTGGATAACAACTCTACCACTTCCGGATATGAACTTGATGACTCCCCAGGTGATTCACGTCTCCTTTGCCTTTTAGTCAGAATGTCAGCAGTAGGACGGTTAACAGCTGACTGGTCCACATCTGGCATGATCACAGAACTTGGTTGAGCAATATGATCTGATTGAGAACTATGTTGTACATGTGTGCTGCTTTGACCACTCCCAATGTTTCTTCCATCCACTATGTGTGTATTCCGCCTATTAATAAATCTTCCAACACCATTATTTCTCGTCATGCGATGCTCATCATACGTGTGCTGATTAGCATTCCGGTAATTACGAGTAGTTCTCCAACCACCTTGTCCTCCAGGGTATTGAAGTGAGTTTCTTGTATCATTATTGGTACCAGTGACCTCTTCATGATTGATGACAGGGCTAATGAAGTATGAAATTCCTTCTCAGTATTAGCCAAAAGATGAAACATGAATTGCAGGTTATAAGGGCTATCTATGGAGACTCTGATCAGAAAAGCTGAGTGAAGTCTCTAGAGGTCCACTCTTGGTGGGTTTAGATTTCACATCAATTAGAAATATGGTAAATGTAACCCCTATAAGGCTTTTTGCTAATCCTCACCATAAGATCCAGTTTTTAGAGGTAAACAAAAAGGCCAAATTCTTAAGACAATCAGAACTACCCTAATGCTAGAGGAAGACTTTTCTAACTCGTTATTTTTGTAAATGACCCTTAGTTCTAATTAAATGTACTTGTGTCAAAATCTTCATGAAGTTCCAATAACCCAGTCTAAGATCAATGATTATGACGATCAAGACTCAACAAATATGCATTTTTATGGTAAAACTTTTTACTGCAATAAATGAACTGCATGCATGCCTTTTGACCAAGAAAGAAGAAATAATCTCATTTCATTTTCAGTTGTAACCCCAAAAATCAAATCCATTTTAAGAGTGTTAAACTCTAAGAAAGAGAGAAACGTTGGGCTGAAGCCATATGTTTCTGAGACAGCAGAGGTGCCTTTTTTTTATATTGAGAGAAAGGAATCAATCCAACAGATGAAGGAGATTTTATATTCTCTAATAACAAAGACATGATACAGAAATAAAAACATTCCTAATAATACATATATAATCTAGATATTCTTGATTATATTGTATCAATTCCTTATTTCTATAATTATAACAAAGAGAACCAATTTCTAATAAAATGTGGACATATTGGATAGCCTTAGCAAGTAATTTAATACATTTATATGTTATATGATTCACTAGCTTGTTAAAGACTTTACAGCACCTAGTAAATTATCAAGCTACTAGCAGTTTATTCATATAATGTAATAAAAAATCCACGGAGATAAATCTTGTGGAACTCTTGATGCAAGATTACCAGCAAACAATGATTTTACATTCAAGTCATCAACCAAAAATTAGAAAGAACTTCAATGTGAACCATGGTCACGTTACCTGTTGGCAGCGCAAAAAGTTCCAGCACTGCGTCCACTGAATGGAGGAGAAATAAGAACTTCCTTTCCTTTAACTTTACCATTGCGCCTCTCTCTAGCAACTATGTCATGAACACTATTTGGTGACACTGCATTGCTAGAAAGCGCACGATCAGCATGGCTCTGTTCAACATCTTCATTTTGAAGGTGTCTCTGTTCAGCTAATTGTTTAGCCCTTGTTGCAATATTATCAGGTAAAATACACCCATTTCGAACCAATCTCTTGTTCCCTCTACCTCGTGGAGAGCTGGAAACAAATGGAGGCAAAGACACTTGCTTATCATTTTGGGATTGAGAATCCTGAGACAGAGAAATACCCTTGCCACGATCCACAGATGTATTAGAACCTGGAAGTTTACACTTTCCAGTGAAGGGATTTCTAGATGTAACAGAAGAATCTGAAATGGCTGGCAACAAAGAGTTCCCAATAGTTGCTTTGGGTGCTTTCTTGTCTTCAGTTGCATGATCTCTTGATGCACCAAGTGAGAAAGCTGGTTTCAGTTGTTGGCTCGGTCCATTATCTTCAGTCAAATCTAAAACAGAAATATCACGGTGAGATGATTTAGAAGAAAACTTGGAGTATATACTTTTCCCTTTCTCCATCTTTTCAGCTCCACTAGAATGCATTGTTTGGCCTCTCCTAAAGATGGGAGCATTTTGAGAAGTATAAGATTTTTCTGACGGGGACAATGTAGTACACAAATTATTCTTCATTTCAACTGCAGCATTAAAAGCTCTGCTCCTCTTCTCAGGATTACATAAACGTTTCTGATCATCACCCCTCACAATTATTCTATCTGGGGTATCAGGAACTTCCACAATTTGATCAATTTTCATATCTTCTGCCATATCCTGTTTTCAAATCATAAGAACGATAATGAAACATTGAAAAAAACAGTATTAAATGCAAATGACAGTAACTTATGCACATGAAAAAGTTCCATGGACCATATAAGAACTCTCCATATTCAGATGCTATTAGTGTGCAAAAACACTTTACAGCCTAATCTATTTAACCAAAAAATTATTGCAAACCAGATAACTATATATAATTCCAAATTTGAACCCATTACCAGCTGAACACCAAGGCGCAACTTTGCTGCTGCACCAGGGATCGCCCTCAAATACAATATATTTTAACCAAAAAAGTTTAACGGGAAGAAATTTGAAAGTACAGAGTGGAGAAGAATGCAAAAGGAATAGAAGGACAAACTCCTTAAAAGAAATAAAAATCAAACAGGACAGAACAAAAGATATCAGCATAGAAAAACAGAACAATCCAAACCCTCAACATAAATGGAAGGAAGCCCTTTAAAGGAACATGTGTTTTACACTATATAGAAGTCAAACACCAAATAGAAATAGTGTTCCTTAAGAATGCAAGAATTTAAAACCACAGCATAGAAAATATTGGACATTGTGAACAAAAATTGTCCTCTTTCCATATACCAAAAATTAGTAAAGCTAGTAAAAAAAGGTTCCAAGTATACATGTCACACCAAATATTCTGTAAAAAAATCTGAGCTTGCAACACACAATAAAACATATCAGTGGTACCTTATCCACATTTTTCATATTCCAAAATAAATTATTTCATTACAATTTGTAAAAGTACTAGTTAATCAAATAGAATCGAGTGAGTAACACAAATCTAAAATATAAGAAGAAAAATTTAAAGCTTAGCACAATTTAAAATTACCTTATTCCAGCAAAAAAGAATAAAACTTTTTTTGAAAGAAACAAATAAAAAATATAAAAGGCTTTTAGCATAGTAATATAAAAAACCTTGAGAAATATTACAAAAAAATTAACTATAGAAACGTAATAGTTAACAGAAACAAAATACGTAAAACCGCCGAATTGTTTGAACACCATAGTTTAGCACCCAGAGGCCACATATTGAAGCAAAAGCTACAAAAAACCTTATGCAATTTCCCAATCAAAACTGAAATGTAAGAGGCATACATAAATGACTGGTACCAACAGGAACAAAAACTAAACCCAATCACACTGACCTGAAACCAGAATGGCTGCTTCAATCAAATAAAATAAAAAACAAATTGAACTCAAATTTGAAGGCAAGTTCATCATTCATCCCAAAATGATGAAATCACATAAATTACAAATTATCATATAACTTCACTGAATGATTTTCCTAACAATCACAAAATTGGAGCAAAACAATTCAATTTCTTAAAAAAAATGTGAAAACAAAGTTACTTCACTGTACCCACAAAATCATACGAAGAATAAAAAAGCTGAAACCTGAAACAAATGGATAAACAAGCACCATCGACCTCAGATAAAAATTAGACAAGCGATAAAAAATGATAGAATGAAAACCTAACCACCAACACAAAATGAATCAGATAGACAATAAAATCGCGCAGTTCACAAACAAAAAATAAATAAAAATAAAAAAAACAAACAAAAATCTAATCGAGGAAACGAAAAGAAAGCATTGAAGCGCATTTCAAAAGCATAAACGAAGCAAAAGAAAATTAAAAGATAAAAGGGTGAAAAAGAATACCAGATTAGTAGAAAGTATTTTTAGTAAATTTGAACGATGAAGATGAACATTACAGAGAAGAGAAGGGAAATGGATTTATCAGTGCGGGAAAGATGCCGGGTCGGCACGATCCGACCCTAATTCAAGGTGGATAGAAGAGCCCAAACCAAATTCCAGAATAAAAGAGACATGAACAGAGATAATTTTCATATGTTATTTCTGTTGTGTAAGAAATTTTTAAAATTTAACTAATTATTCAAACAATAAAGAATTAAAATAGTGACGTTTGATTGGTATTTGTGTATGGAAAGTTTAAATAATTTAGTTATAGAATTTAAATAAATGAAAATAAAGATTTTGAAAATAACTCAGCTTTTACACTAATATTTCATTTATATAGATAATGTATAATATCTATTTTGTTCCCAATTTTTGTTGGAAATATTCGAAATAGTTTCAATTTTTTTTCTGTTTAACGTTGTCATAGATATCGTAATTTGTGTTCAATTTAGTCCTTTTTACAACAGTGTTTAAATCACGGCCAAATGTCCAGCAGTGCAATTAGTGAATGATGTGGACACTTTAACTGCTGACTTGTCTTGACTGAAAGATGATGTAACCAATGAGGGGTTGCCGCGTAACAGCCCCTTTCCCATCCAAAATTAGGGTTTCAGATTGGGAGAAAGGGAAAAACCTAGTGGCTTCTTCCTCCTGCGCCGCTCACTTGCGTTCATGGTTGCTTGTGAATGAAGAAGCGACGCTGCTCAAGGGTTGACAGTAATGGCGCATTGGATTCATGAAGGGCAATGAAGATGATGACGGGTTTGTTTCATGGTTTAAACGAGTTAGGGTTTTGTTGATTTTGGAATTTGCAGGTGAAATATGTTGGCATCACATTGATTTTTTCGATTACGGAGGCTTCCGTGGCTAGGCATTGAAGACGAAGATGGTCTTCTGCGATGGCGGTTGAAGCTTCGTGCATCAATGGAGTTTGCAATATCTGGGTTCTTCTGCAGGTTTCTGGTGCGGCTGATGATGGTGATGCGTTGAGGATTGCGCGTGACGCTCGTGAGGTTGAACAACGGTTCGATTTAGGGTTCGAATGACAGCGCTGATGGGCCGCCATGGTGATGGTTTGAGAAGGAGAGGCATTGGCGTTGATGGAGATCCACGGTGGAGGAAGGGGAAGATGGTCCTGGTGGTGTTTCTGAGTGGTTGTTGGATGAAGAAAAGGAACAACGGTGGTTGTAGTCCACGTCATTCACTAATTGCACGGCTGGACATTTGGTCGTTAACGATTTAAACGTGTAAATAATTCATACTAAAGATTCGATAAATCTAAATATCTCAAACAAGCACATTTAATCATA